ATATCGTTATGCCACGAGTTGTATGTGTGAAGTAGAAGACAGACGGTATATCAGAAAACAAGCTTACTGCAACAGTCTTTGTGTGTTTTCTGAGGCCGCAATCGGAAATGGATAGCCGCCCAAAAGAACCTGGGGATGGTAACCTCGTTTTTCCTCGACAACGGCTCTTTGATGAAGACGCTGGAAGCTTGTCTTGGTGGCAGAGACATCCACATGTAGATCCGAGAGAGATGAGGCGACAGCTTCCTTGTGGACAGCTCGAATAGACGGCCGAAGGTTGCGACTGGGCTCAGGAGCGTGACAATGTTGGTGATTAGGATGGCCGGGTTGCGAACAGGTCCACCAGAACTGTATATTTATTGATCGGCTTGATGAGAAACTGTCGGGGACATGGACCAAGTGCCTTTCTGTGCGATGACTCGTCGTGAGAATGGAGGCATACCCAACAAAAAGAAGCCTAACTTCCGTTATCTCCAGCACTTTGTGGTCCGTTTACTTGATAAGGCTCCAACTAGTTGATCTAGCTTACCTAGGTGATTTCCCACATTGTGGCTTTCGATGCTTGACGGTTTGATCTGTTCATTTTTTGCTGGCCAAGACTTAACCTTGCTAATATCATCCCGCGATCTCGATGGAAAGTTTACCATCAAGAGGTTGCCTGACACCTAGATTAAATGCAAGATGAACTTTTTTCTATTGTTTGTGCTACACTGCTTCTGTTTGTATTTTAGACTGAAAACCATCGGATTATCCTTGGCATCTGATCGGTCTGATCCATTACTCCAGTAAGTATGCGCATGACCCTTAAGCCTCCAATCAGACGGTGTCCTGCAGCACATGACAGTGAATCAGGCCGACATGACTATGCTAGTCGCCGTGGTGATTGCCGATAAGTCCTGTGATTATTGGTTGCCCGTTGCTATGCTACCGCTCGTGGTCAAAAAACGGGCTGCCTGACCTTCATCGTACCGTTAAGTCATGTGGTTTGACCTGCTGTCGATCACAACCACTGCAGTGTGGTCGCATGATTCACTGCCTGGGCACCCAAACAAAAATCCTCTGTTGCCTCACGCCTGAACTTGAGGACGGGGGCTTTCTGTGTTGCTCTCTTTTGGGATGAAAATTATTGTTGCCCTCGCGGCTAAATTTCCTCTCACTGCCCCGCAAACCCTCGGTTGACTCACCCGAAGCGCCTTGGCTATGGCCCTTTCAACTGCTTGGTTTGCTGCAGCAGTTACGTGGAGCAGCTTAGTGGGATGGTTTGCATCAGTTCTTGCACTGAAGGGTGGACATCTTCATGCATGTTGTAGCATTAGCAAATGGACAGATGTGATGGTTTATGAACGGATATTTCACGATCTTAAAATATCTCATCATTAGAAACTGCTCTAAGTCCCCAACATACCTCTTCTTCAAGTATAACTTTTGGAGAGGCATTGTTCTGTCAAATCAGTACAAGAAGATGTAGTCTATAAAGTGCATTTGAATTCATAAGGATGTCGAAAATAAATTGGAGGCATCACACTACTTACAATAGCTTATGTATTTCAAGCAGTGTCAACCGGAATTCCGTAATTCGTTTTTATGGTACTCGCACTTGTTGCGACTGCG